TAACTCTAACCCTAAGAAAAATCTAGATATTTTTCTTTTCTATTACAATGCTTGAGTTCACTCCCTACTCCAATCCTGCATAGAGTATCAGAGGTAAAAGTGTCATTACTGCCCCACCCTCCATTCTGAGTTCCCAGGTTTTCATTAGAAAGTCCTCAGTGGTGGCATCTGTGCATGTCCTCTGCAAGGTGGGAGTGAGGTCAGTAGCAGGCCAGCATGGCTCCATGGCTGGCCCACCTTCTGGTCAGGGCACTGCCTCCATACCAAAGGGTTAGAGAGAGGCTAGATATGCCCTGGAGGGGGTAGATATTCCCTGGAGGGGGCAGATGCTAAAGCTTCCTCATTCTTTGGGAATAAAGACTTTGCTCCTGCCTCCATCCTAGTTCATTCAGCATTGGCTAGGGCAGTCCCTCCACACATGGCCTCCTCCCTTGGCACCCCTCTTTCCTCCCATGGCACTCACAATAGCTCCTCACACTGACCTCTCCAAAACTGTCCTTTGACCGTCTCACCCCAAGATCCCAGCGTTTGTTCTGGTCCCCATTCCTGGACCTGCTCTCTCTCACCTGTCACCCAGATCTCCAGGGCATCACTGGGTTCAGACTTGACATGTAGGCTTGAGGTCTCGTAGTAAATGTAGCTATAGTTCCCAGAGTCCTGCACCCCCAGAGACTTTAGGGAGAACTTAGCTTGAGAATAGACTAGGTCCTTCTTCTGTAAGGGTTCCTGGGTCCCTGACTTCAGTAGACTGAATGTCACCAACCACTCAAATGACTCTGACGGCCTCCTGCACCAGAGGATCAGCTCCCCCCCTGGTGCCACCACAGGCCCTGGCAGGGCTGAGAGGAATGGCTTGGGGAGAGATCCTGGGAGAGAGAGAGGTGGAATGGGGATGGGGAAGAAGAAGAGAAAGCCTCAAAGTCAGTGTGTGACAAATCTGTGATGGGGGCACAACGGCCAGGACTTGGACCTCATGGACCAGAACTTATAATCATCATCACAGTCACAGATAATGAGAATAGCTAGCTTTTATATAGTGCCTACTATGTGCTAATCACTTTACAAATATTACCTCACTGGACCCTCACACCCCTGGGCAGTAAGTGCCCATGTTACAGTTGAGGAAACAGAGGCAGACAAAGGTGAAATGACTCTCCTGGGGCCACACAACAAGCAGTTGTCTGAGACCAGATTGGAAGTCAGGGCTAGCTGACTCCACCCACTGCTCTATCTACTGTATCATTTAGCTTCCATTTTAGAAGGCACTGACAGCTCATTCCTTCAGTGGGTGCACACATCCTGGGCTTAGAACCAAGCTGGCAAGAGTGATAAGGAAATTGCGAGGTCACCAGATGACTTGTTCCTGCGTCTGCGCCCCCTCCACAACTCTCCACCCCCCAGCCCCTCAGGTCTAGTCCTGCCCTGCTCTTCCTTCCCCTCCACCCCCACCCACTCAGGCCGGCGCCTCTCTAGCCACTGTCTCAGCCTCTCTGACCACAGAGACCGCTGCCCCTGGCTCTCCTGACTCTTAAAAATGCCATGAGTGTTCAAGCTTTCCTCCTCTGAGTGCCCCAACAGCCCCTGCCAGTTTAGCTCTGTTCCCAGGCTTCCTCTGACCCATCCCCAGTGACTTGGTTATACCTCCCTTCACAGGAAAGACAGCTTGGGACCCTGCCATCCCTCACAGAGCAGCAGACACACTAGAGGGAATGTTGCTTAAGGTCTCTGCACAGCTCAGGGACCTCAAGGGAACCTCAAAGGCTCCCAAGTACCTGCCTTCAATAGAAGGCCGAGCATCCCCCTGAGGAGTGACTGGTCCAACGCTGACACCTAGCCCCAGATGTAGAACCACTACTGCCCTTCTCCCCCAGCCCCTCAGGCACCAGAAGACTGGGCCAGGCCCAGAGGATCTGGAAGGGCAATCTCCATCCCTGCCCCAAGGATAACATGCCATGAGAGATTGGGAGGGTGGCTGAGGGGTGACCTTAGTCCATTGTCGTAGCCCAGGTGGGCCTGTCCACCTCTAGATAACTAAGCTCTGCCTGCCCCACCCTCACAGAGATGTACTGGGCCCTGCAAGGCTCAAAACAAGAATCATTAACGTGAAGGAGAAAGGAGATGGAGATAAAGCATTCACACACAGATACACGTGTGCATGTGAACACATACACATGCATGCTTACATACATGCAACCACACAAAGCAACATGCACATGCACAAACATGATGTGTGTATGTACATACACTGTACAGCACATGGATGTGCATCTGCACATGTACTCATACACACAAGCACATCTAAGCACATAAATGGACAGACTCATATGTATAAATGTGCATGCAACCACATGCTTTGTTTGCATGTTGACACATGTCCACAACATGCACGTGTCTGCAGGCCTACAGATGAATGCAATGCATGCATGCAATGCGTGCACATATACGTATGTCCACACATACAAACATTCACACACACACACACACACACCGTCTGCACAAGCCAAGCTCTGTCCCAACCAGTCTTGACTTCTCCTTCAGAGGCAGCTCTGGTGAAATGTTGACCACCATGTCTAGGGTACATTCCAATTGTTTGCAAGTGTTTTCCTCACACTATCCCAGGGACTGAGGGAACTTGAGCCTCTGGTTCTAAGCCCAGGGATTCTTCCCTCTCTCCTTGTGCGTAAGGAAGGCTCCTGGCTGATAGACACAGAAGCAGCATCATTGGTCTCAGAACTGGGGTTAGTCTGACCTCATCTTGTTACATAAGAGGAAACTGAGATCACAGAGGAACCTGGAAGCAGAGATGGGATTGGAAGCCAGGTCATTAACCTCCTAGTCCCCTTCTCCTCCTCCACCTGGAACACAGAATGATTGAGTGAAAAAGCCCCCCATCGGACACCCAGTCAAGAAGCGGGGCTAGGTGTGGGGCTATAAGAAGGCCAAGGGGCACGGTTACTGCTGCCCAGGGCCATCCAGGAATGATCCAAGGAGAAGGGAGAGCCTCATCTAGGCTTATTGGTTATGCAGGAACTTGACAGATGCAAGGAAGGAGGGTAGTGGGAAAGGAAGAGGGGATGTTCCACTTCCCGGGCTCAATTAATTTACTTAACTAGATGTTCTCTGCTCAGAAACACTGATCAAGGGAGAGGTGCCTCCATGACCAACTCAGAGAATCATTTTGTAAATCAGGGCTGAACAGCCAACTTAATCAAGTTGGGAAGGAGAAAAGTGAAACCAGGATGTCCTCAGATTCACCAAAGGATGAAACGTATTGGGAGAATGAGGCCAAAAGGAGTGTGAAAAGCCCCTCTCCCAGGCTACATGTGAGGGTCATTACAAGGCTTCACTCTAGGCTATGGCCAGAGTGCTCCTGGACAGAGCACCTCTGAGTCACCTGGCTCCAGAAGGGGACCTAATTCTTCCAACCAAGGCCAAGACATTTCATCTTAGATTTCATTCAAAGGTTAGAAATGCTTCACTCCAACTCCATTGTCCACATCTAGTCCAAGCCATTGATGGCATATTCTCTACTTGAATCAGAGAGGTTTCTCACCCCAGCATCTTGTAGGTTACATTAAGAGGATAATGAGGCGTGAAATACCCCTCTTACACAGGCCCAGGGAACCCCATGGGGTTTCATGTGTAAAGAGCACCAGGTCCAACCTCAGAAGAGCTGCTTTAATTCTTATCTGCTATTACCTGAGGAACCCAGTCACTTCATGTGTCTGGGTTCAAGTTCCCCATCTAGAAAATGGGGTCAGACTAAATGGTGACAATATGTAAGATCCATTTCAATTCTAAATTCTAGGAACCTATGGCCCTTCTCCAAAGTCACAGCACCAGTTCATCTAAGACCTATCCTCCTCTTGCCCCACCCTGATTGCTCTGGGAGCAATGGATGGATAGATGGATTGGACCCACCCCCACCTTCTCCCTCTCTGATTGCCCTCAACAGGATAGCCCCTGGGGCGAAGACTCACCTGTCTGTGCCCTAATCATGTAGATGCAACATAGCCCTGGAAGAGAAGCTCAGGTTATAGATGATTCCAAGCCCCCTCCCTGCCCCTTCCCCTAAATTAGAGTCCTTTCCCTCAACTCCTGTGACCTCAACAGAGGCAGATTCAGATAACCAGAGAGATCCTGGATCTGCTCACTCCAAGAACCTTGCCTCCAGCCCTAATTGTCCATCTCTGTGCCACACCCCTCCTCCCCCAGCCCAGCCTAACCCTGGTACTCACCCAGGCAAAACAGGGAAATGTTGAGGCTTGGGCCTGAGATTCCTAGACTTCACTGAGCAGACAGGAAAAGGCAGAAAACCCCAAGAGAGATCAGCCTCGGGATGTGGTAGCTGGACTCATTGCCTCCACCCACTAAAAGCCTGGCCACACTCTTCTACTCTGAGATATACGAGCTAAAGAACATCTTGCTGTGATCTCTCCCTTGTAGAGACCCAGGCACTCAGCAGGAGGCCTATCCTTCAAAGACTGTGAGACCAAATCCTCAAGACCTGGAGAACAACTCACCACCAGGGAAACACTTCAAAGGAAGAAGGTCTCTGAGGCCATGGTCAGTGCAAAAGGGCAGGGCTGGACACCAAGGACCAGAGTGACAGGTAAGCTCAGCCTCAGACATAAGGCCTGCCTGACCACCAAGCACACACTCTCCAAAAGTGTCTTCTGCTTATGTGGGGAAGAAACCAAAGAATTGGCCCCATGTGTGAATTCAGGCCAGTTCCAGAGGAACCCATCTCCAGGGTTGAGTGGTCACTCCCCGGTGTTGGTAGATGGAACACTGGACCAAGGCTGCCCTCCCTCACCTCAGGACTCTGGAGAGTAAGACTCTAGCCCTCTGCTGCCTCCTCAATTCAGTAGGCAGCAACTTCATGCTTCCCACTCTCCTAATCCCAGTGAAACAGAATCTCTGACTGCTACCAGAAACCCCTTACCCACCACAAAACTGCCATTTTCCCCTGTACATTCATCCTTCCCCAAGCCCTGTCCTCCTTTACCCTCCCTCTCCATTACACCCACTGGGATCACTCCCTAACCAACTTCTCCTTTCTCCTGAGCTTCTTAACTCCACTGTCTCCACCTACTCACAGCAAGCAGACCCTCTTCAGCAGGCCCCACCCATGATGCCCTCTATGGTACTGGGTGCTCCTTCTAGCATGCCCCATGGCACCCTGAGCTGGAAGGAGGACTGGACATCCTCATTGTCATTCCCAAGCCCTCACTTTGGCACCATCACTCAGAAACCTCTCTTCTGCTTCTGGTCACACCTTACGTCTATGTCACCCAGTCCACATCTTCATGAGGAACCAGCCTTCAAGATCAGTGCAACAGGTCGGCTCCTTTCTCTTCCTCTCTTCCTCAAACCCTACCTTGATATTGGGCCAGCCAATGTCCATGTGGAGGGATTTCCCAATCCCTCTTCATTCTAGTCCCCTGCCTCTGCTTATAATTCCCTATTTATACTGTATATCCAGTGCTTGTACATGGCTATTTGCATGTTGTCTCTTCCCTTAGGGCAGGGACTGTCTCTTGTTTTTGTATCCTCAATGCTTTGCCTTGTGCCTGGAATATAAAAGGTCCCTAATAAATGCTTATTGATTGACTGACTGACTACAAAAAGAGCTGCTGCAAATACCTTGGGATAGGTGAGTACTTTTCCTATTACTTTGATCTCTGTTGGGCATAGACATTGCTGTTATGGTTGGGTCAAAGGGTAGGGATAGCTTAATAACTTCTGAGCCATAGTTCTAAATTGCCTTACAGAATGGTTGAACCAGCTCACAGTTCTATCAAGAGTGAATTAATGTACCCATTTCCCCCAGCCCTTCAAGTATTTCACATCTTTCTCTGTTGTCCATTTTCATAATCTGATAGATGTGAGATTGAACTTCAGAGTTCTTTTAATTTTCATTTCTCTAATTATTGTACCTGCAGCATTTTCACATGATTATTCATAGGTTAGGTTTCTTCTTCTGAAAACTGTCTGTTTATATGCTGTGGCTCTTTATCAACTGGGAATGGATCATATTCTTCTAAATTTGAAGCAGTTCCCTGTGTATCTTAGAAATGAGACTCTTATGAGATAAACTTGCTCCAAAGATTGGTTTTCTTCCATCTACATGCATCTCTTATAATTTGAGTTGGGTTGGTTCTGTTCATGCAAAAACTTTTTTAGTTTTATGTCATCAAAATTGCCCATTTTACCTTCTGTGTTCTTCTCTACAGATCTGATAGTTAATGTCTCCTATGGGCCTTTAATTTGTGTAGACTGTCACCTTTGCATCTAAGCTCTGTATTCATCTGGAGCTTATTTTGATATCTGGTATGAGATGTTGGTCTATGCCTAGTTTCTGCCAAACTTCTTTCCAATTTTCCAAGCAGTTTTTTTTAATCAAATAAGAAGCCCATATGGTCAAAGCTATGGTTTTTCCAGCAGCAATGTATGACTCTGACTGTTGAACTATAAGGAATGCTGAGTCTCAAATAACTACGCTTTTGAATTGTGCTGGAGAAGTCCCTTGAACAGTAAGGTCATCAAATCAGCAATTTATTCAAACTCTTCATTGGAAGGACAAATACTAAAGTTGAAGCTTAACTACTTTGGCTACATAATGAGACACGATTCATTGGAAAAGACCCTTAACTTGTGGATCTCCATGGTTATGGGAAAAGCAGATATGATGAGAGAGACACAGGCAATCTGGGAATCCATGGAGAGAACAGGATGGGGGTGGGAGGCAGGGAGAAGAAAGTCATGTTCAGACCCCAACATGCTTGTTGTGGATGGTTCAGGGTCACATCAGAATATTAGATCAGGAAGATTTGGGAAGATCAGCTAAGTCTCTCTATCTTCTGGGGATCTGTTCATGTGAAGTTGCTGGGGAGAGAGACAGACAGAGACAGAGACAGAGAGAGATAGGAACAGTATAAATTAATCTCCTATGGCTTAGCTCTGGAAGGGATGTTAGAGATTATCTAGATCAAGCCCCTGGTTTAACAGATGTGGAAACTGAGGCACCAGGTCTAAGCTCAGTACCTATTCCCTCCAATCTCAGAGACAACCATCCCCAAACTCACCAGTCTGGGTGGGTTGATGGCCCAGGAATGCCAAAAGAAGAAAGAGTAGGAAGAGGATGCCAATGTGGCGGAGTGTGATCAGAATATTTCCGGACACTGAGATGTGGGGTGAGAGTGAAGATTAGTCCACAAGCATTTCTCCCCTTTCCTCTCCACCCA